AAGAATTTAATAAGAATTATTAGTCATTAAATTATGTAATAATTACATAATATTTAATTATTGAAATAGTTAATTTTAAATAATTGAAATATTTCATAATCAACAAAGAATATTTATTAATTAAATAATTAAACATTAAATAATGAAATCATGGCATTTACACCAGTCAGCCATAGCATGCTGACCTCCCACCATATATGAAGTATATCTCCCTTTGCCAAAACAACACTGACTAGGGATGCACCAATATCGATACCAGTATTGAGGTAACCATGATAAAATACAGTACAAATAACAGTGTAGACAAGCTGCGGTGTGAAGTGGAAGGTTGCAATTTTTTCGCTTTGCTACGCCTGCAGTGTGTCACAGCCTTAATAATAATCCAGTACTTTTGTTATCTAGTCACATGTAGTTATCACTGAAAATGCTTTATGTACTTGAATTATTTTGATTACTCTCCCTTCTTTGTATTACACATACCACACAGCTCCATGGTAGATGATGCAGATATATAGATTACCAATAATAAATATCATTTTTTTTGTTATTTTGCCCACCTCCTGTAAGTCCAGTAATGCTAACTGGTGGAAGTATATTAAAGGAGAACTATGAGGTGAGTGCTTTTCACTCACCTCATAGTTCTAGCCAACCTGTGACAATGAGACTGTCACAGGTCGGCTCAGTAGATCGGGAGGTGAGTGAACACATACCGGCGTTCGCTCACCTCTCGATCCTGTCACGGCTCTCTGCCGTGACAGGGGAGGGGCTGGATTCCCCCCTCCCCGCTCCGCCAGCGCTGACTGGTGGGTCGGACGGGGGGGGGGGCGGGTACAGCTGGCTCTGCCTCTAGATAGGCAGAGCCAGCTGTCACTCACACAGCTGGGCGGATCCCGGCACAATTGACGGCATCCGCTTCAGCTGCAGGGTCTCAGTATACCGCGAGCTACAGATCGCGGTATACTGAGCCTACGGTGACGGGAGAGAACGCTAGTTTGTGTCCTCCCGTTACCCTAAGGAGAACTATGGGGAAAAGACTCAACCCCATAGTTCTCCTTTAACATTGACCGTTAAAACTATGCAAACATAACCATTTAAAATGTAAGTATATTTAAATTTTACAATAGAATTCAAGTCGTCAGTAAATGCTTTTATTTAGTAAAGTTAGTCAATGCCTTTGTTTTGGTTGTAGATTTTAAAAAAATCGGAAACCTAAACATTTTGGATAGGACAGAATCAGGGCCAGAAGTTTCACTAATGAAGCACGTGGGGAAAAGGGCATTGGCAGTCAAAGCAACACCTTTGCTTATGACGTTAACATTACATTTTTAGCACAGAACATTTCTATGCTTGGCCGGTACTAACATGGATAGGATAGTAAGGCAATGTGTAAATAAGATTTTATTAGAGGAATGCATTTTTACTTATAATGGTAAAATTTTTTTATATATATATATACACAGAAATAAGGATGCCTCTTTGCTTCCGTTGCCCATAGGCACAAGCCTGGAACTGAGATTGACTGTCGTAAAGTCTTTATTGTACTAAAGATAATCTGAGATGTTAGGTTTTCTAGAACTGATTTTCCTTGAAGGTATAGCTAAACTCTAGACACATATAAAATACAATTGAATGCAGTTCTGTATTAATTATACAGTGCAATACCTAAATTTGACTTGGTATCAGTCCAGTCAAAGGTTGGGGTAGGGACAAGACATGTAAGCAGTACTTAACTGCAGTATAGAAAATCTGATCTCCTTTCCTGACAGGCAGGGCTGTGCTGTGTAGCACAGCTGTGTACAACTAAGAACTGGATTGACATAAATACGATTCTTTTGCAGGTAAAACAGTTCCCACATTTGTATTTCATGGATGTATTGAGCTGTTTGCTTGGAGTTCAGCTTTAGTCCTTCAAATCTTGTCCTCATTCACACAAAGTAAAATCTACTGCTAGAACCCTTCCAGAGTGAGGAAGTTTAAATTATAAATGCTTACAGTATACAAAACAAAACACTTGTAACTATCTATGGATAGTTTAATACCATATCAGGAAAAAAAAATCTTAGGCAGGATTATTTTTATATGATGTAACCTTCCGGTTCAATAATTAAACTAAAGAATACTGTGGAAAGATTTCTTTAGCCAGAATGGTTGATACTATAGAATATGAGATCACAATAATCCACAATGCTCTGATTCTGTCAGTTCTAATTAAGAACACATATTCTCCTTCAGCCATAAAAACATACTCATATTATAAAGTCTGGTAGCCCTGTGGGTGCCAGAACACTCTACCAGTATGAGAATTTACATTAGTGTAGCTGCCTATGTGATAAAACTGCATTGTTATTTCACTGCAGGTTCATGACAGGCTTCTTCTGTACCTGATGTAGCAGCTTAATACTATTCCAAATGTCTACATGATTATAAATATGTAAACATCTACATTTATATTTGCATTTGAGACACGCGTAATACTGTAACGCAGAGGTACCTTTAGGTATTATGGCCTTACTGGTTCCTTAACTGACCAATACACACACATATATATATATATATACACAAACTTCCATAAACCGTTTATATAAAGGTGTTCTTTTAATGGTTGAATATGTTATAGTTTCAAAAGATTACAAAGATAAAAGGTAATAAAAATGATGCTGCTTTAGCGGGATCAGCATTGTCACACACAGGACTATCTGTCCAAGAATTGCATTGACTAAAAACTACCCACTTCTACTATTTAGGGATGGATACTGCAACATACACAGGGCCTTAAACTTATTATTGTTAAACATCTCCTATACCATTTGTGTTGTATCTTTATAATTTTGTTTAGTCAAAATTTTGCACATATAGAACTGCAAGTTAAAATGCTATTCTTTGCCTTTAAGTATCATACAACTATTAAGGTGTCATCATGAGAGCAACACAAATAGTGGATTCTTTAAAGAACATGCCAACTTCCAAGCACATGCTGACTGTAGCAGATCATTAAGTAGACTGACCTTGTGCATTAAAGGTGAATACAGTCCTCATGATAAAGAGAGCGTCTATATTTTTTCACCAGATGACATATTATACAAATATTTTTATTTTCAATTGCACGAAAGACATATCCTTGTGAATAGTCCGAAAAACTGTATATAACTTATCCTTACAGAATTATTATTACACAGCATTCTGACAATGCAAAGGTTACATGCAAAAGCCCCTTCCTTCCAAAAGCTCTGGATTTAAACACAACAAAGAGTTGGGATACAAAGTGCACCTGGCTTTGGACACATACCGTCTTTGTAAGTCAAGCTGGCAGCGGCGCTGATTTTTTTGCGGTGGCTGCGTGCGTAGTCCTGTAGGTTTGGAGCGCTGGAGGAGCCTCCCAGCACTGTGGTGCTGAACAGACCAGTGCACTGTGATCCTGAAAGGTGGGGATCTGGGATTAGTATTCACACAGATCTACAACATGCCATTAAAGACCAATCACCTGGGTTAATGGCAGCCATCATTCCATCAGTTGTAGCACCAGTTCTTATCTGCAAATGCTAAACAATGTGATCATGAAGTGGATTTAGTTCAGGTTTAATGAAAGAGCACATTAAACCGGAAATCCTAAAATTATTCTACAGTATGTGTAATATTATAATATAATGTGTTAAAGACACATCTCTGGAAAATAGAGAGGCCGATTCACTTTCTGTTCAAAAAAATCCAATTAGAAATCCAAAATCAAGTTTGAAAAAAAAGAAAAAAAAAAAAAAAAAGGGGGGAACAGGGCCACAAAAAAAAATGACATGACCACACAACATAATATTGCCTAAATAGGACACTGTCCTCTTCCCATACTGCTACATTTTCATTATAGAGCAATCAAACTCTATGACATAAGATAAACAATGCTTATATGATTTTTTTTATTTTTTATTTAAAATATTGATTGTGGATTGCAAATATTTGAAGGCTTAGTGCAACCAAATTTGATGCAGTTGAGTTAAATCCAAAGCTAGACTATTACATTTCTAGCTCACTTGACTTCTTGACTACTGGAGCTCTTAGATTCTTCATCCCTATAACCAAGGAACATGAACATGATGGCCACATCAGTTTTTGGTGAACTAAGCCTTTAATGAAGCTAAACAATAATTAGCTTGTAAAAAAATACATATATTTCACAAATGTATCAAAGAAAGAAACGTGCATATATGACTAGTTAATAATGGTTAAATCAAATGTATGCATGCAAATCACACTTTTATATTTTATTTAGGGTAAATCACAAACTTTTATAATTTTATTTAGAGTATTAAGATCAACTGATGCAGCCATAGACTAATCCGTTAAAGTGAACCTGTGCTCCATTTTAAACTTTTTAAGAAACCGCAAGATACCCGACTAGCCCAAACATCTTCTTTGCCCTTCTTTGATTTATTCTCACTTTGTTTTTGTTATGTTTTTGTTCTCATCTCTCTGACCACCTGGCTATGTCCTGCCAACTGTCACCCCATTGTCCAATTACATTTCCCTAGTGCCAGTAAGCTCACACTTGACAATCGATTGACAGTTGGAGTTCAGCAACGAAGTTAGAGTACGTCAAATGATAGCAACAAAGTGAAACTAAAATACATATTACTTTCCCTACAAAACAGTAGTATTTGGATGTTATCTGGATGGGAATCAATTCTTATAAAGAAAAAAAAGTTTGTGTTTGGAGAGCATTAATGTCAAGCCTAGAATTTAGAAAAATGTGTGACCTGCCACACATGGTGGCGATGAATGTCTTAGGGGATCATGGGGGTGCTGTCATGGTGGCGCACGTTACAGGGGGGTGGGGGGAGAGTTTTCTGCCGGTACCTCTGGCTCCATATCTGTCTGGTGTCCTGCCCAGCTGACTGACATCACTGGTTGCCTGGAGCTGGGCAGGACACCAGCCAGAGCGTCCCGCTTAACTCCTGGCAAGCAGTGACATCAGTGAGCTGGGCGGGATGCAGGCCAGAGTTTCACAGGTTGCTGATGGGGGTCCAATAAGATGCCCCCATGTGACTCAATGAGATGCTGTCTGAGGCATCTCATTATATGGACGGCTCTGCTCTTAAGCACACCTCAGGGTATGTACACGATATTGCATAACAACCACTTTTATTAATGGCCATCTTTATGGAGCATCTAACATTTTTATATATAATGAAAGCTTGCATTTCAAATGTGCACTTATAAAAAGGTATATGTAATAAAGCACACAAGTACGATGAAACTTCAAATAAGGGACCACAATAACAGAACACACAACAAATATTTCCAGTATCTTACAAGAATAGCAAGATACATTAAGTAAAGAAGGATGAAGTCCAAAGTGAAGGATTACCAAATGTAAAACAACATAAAATGAGTTACATGGAGCCGTCCAAAGACATAATCTAGTTGAGAAAAGCAGGTCTTTGGAATACGAAAGAAAAATGATGGCTTGCATGATAAAAAAAAACAAAAACTCACGAAACAGTAAATTCAAAAGGACAGAGACAAGTGATTTTCAGAGCTCCCATATATCCCTTTATAGTTTATGATGTTGTATCCCATCATGTTCCATCAAGTCACCAAGGACAAAATGTGGAAAGCCTTCAGAAACTGATGTGCCACAAGTACATGCAAAGCAGAATACATCAGATATAAAAAGGAGAAACTACATACAACTACTGATGATATGCCACAAATACAACAACATGATCAAAAGCAATAAAACTAAAAGTAAAAGGATCTAGTAATGTAGAACATACATAAAATGGTAAGGACTCTTTCAGCAATTATGTGTCTATTACTTATCACATTAAGGAGGGACTATTTTTTTTAATGACTTTAAAACTATGTAAATAATCTTATTAAAAAGTTAACTTTAAAAAAAAACATGTTTTCATGTAAAGTTTTTATGTATTTATTCTCATGGTGACGTATATATATTTGCTTACTGCATAGGCAGGCTTCCTGATCATCCTTTACAAATTTAGCAGGGAAACATCTTAATGAAGCATCCAAAATGCTCCTGTAAGCCAGTACCCAAGTGATTTTAAAGAGATTCTTGTCACTGGGAAGGGGGCAAACTGCTGTAGCTATGAAGTTTATGCGCTTAGAGGTAGCCTTCCAAATGTTCCTGTCATGTCTGTTTTGTCAGGCTGTTCTAACAGCCAAAGCTTTGGCACTTCCTCATACAGTATTACTGAAACCTGTCCGGTATGCATCCTGTGAATTCCTATTCCCCAGCGAGGCCCCCCATCGCAGAAATGGGCTAGAAGTAATGCTGGTCAGGGGGAAAAGCAACAAGAACAGACATTACCCAGGGCATTGCCTGTCAAGAGAAAAAAAAGTTGCTACAGGTATGTGTAGACACCACAAGGTGTCTGCACTTCATACCTGCAGTAGTTCCCCCCACTTTCTACCAGTGACAGAGTCTTCAAATCAGAAAGTACCGACATGTGCCCTATTGATTCACATAAAATGTAAACTGCAATTGTAGGTCCTTTTTAATCCTGTGACAACAGTGACTAGTCCTCCAAACTAAATCTATAAGTATATAAAAAATTATTGTAGACTGGTAGACTTTGGGGTCTATTTATGACTAATTCACAGAGTCATTCTCTCTACAAATCTTTCTGAATGTTATGCTGAATGTCTGAATATTATACTACATGACGGCCGCTGGAAGGAGCCGAGGAGCATAGGAGATAAATACATATTTCCTATGCTCCTCAGTTTTATCTTGTGGCCAAAATGCATTATTACATTACATGCATTTAACCTGAACAGAAAATATATCTAAAAATTTTCGATGTTGCGTCTTTTCGCAAAAAACTAACATTTGCAAAAATCCATAGGGCAAATGGGTCTGCAAATTGATTAAATAGACACCTATGTGTACATGACAAAACTGTTGTTTATTTGAGTAGCCAAAGCAAGCCCCAGAGTACAACATATATTTCAGTTAGTATTGACAGAAAAGTAAGTAATGGCAGTACAAGCTGTATAGCTAGAAGTCTGGTTTTCTCTAAAGCTTTATCCTAATACCTTTCTTTCAATATCTTCCCTATTATCTTAGCCTTTTTGAAAAGAATTCTATTTCAGAATTGGATCCAGTTTGGAGGGTTGCAGCTGTAAGTAGAATGTTACACCTTTACATAAAACTTAATTGACGTGGAATTAATGTCCCGGTTTAAAAAAAATTGCAGAGGAGCAACAGTTTTTTTTTACAAAAGAGACATGCAAAATCTATTTTGTCCAAAAAAACATCCCCGATGCTTCCAACAAGTTTTCTTTTACATTATAGTGTACATCCCCACTCATTCTTCTCATGCCAAGAATACATCTAAGTGTTGAGGACAATGTAACTGCCGCTCACATGCACAGGAGTTACATCTTTAGCAGCCATCCAAAGGCTGAAGAGAACAAACGGGGAAGATGGCAGCAGCATCAGAGGGAATAGCCATTGCAGCCCTGACCTGTCACCACTAGAGGAAGGCACAATGACAAGTGTGCCATAATGTGCAAAAGTGCTGCACATTTTTGCACACAATGGCAAACGCTTACCTGCACACAGCAGACTATAATTCCACTTGAATAGTTTTGAGAGGAATTACTTCTAAGTCTAAGACAATGTATGGAATAACTTACCAGAAAACCATGGTCCAAGAACTTAATGAACCATCCCAGTTATCAGCAGGGAACACAATATAGACTTTCTATCATGATCTCATAAATCGTTGAACTAAATGCATCTACCTCTACAATCGTTAGATATAATGCTTGGTGAAAATCTCATTATTCAGCTTCTTCATCGTTTCAGAATGATTCACAGTTCTGACCACTTGACCCTACTTTTTTTAATAAACTGTTGATTTTCGTGAATTACAAAAATTGTACAAAACACACATTAATAAAATTCAAAAAAATTACTTGCCAGTACTGTAAATAAATATTTCACGGACATAATAGAAACACATTTAAGACAATGTCTAACCTATCATTTCTATTTGCATTATTCTTTCTTAGTCACTCTTGGGCATTTATTTTAGAACAAAGTAAAATTATGTACATCTACCAAGAGCAGCCAACAAAAACGGTTGCCTCTAGGTCACTGCATTTGGAACTTTTTTGTTGTTTTTTTACTGAATGCTTTTTTACATAAAGACCCTAGTATTATTGCCAGGCAGACATTCCTGGAAGAGAATAGAACAATGACACACAAACTGAAAATTCTTTAAAATGTTGCTGGGACCCTTCCAAAATGTATCACCCGAGAAAGAAAAAAGGATGGTTAAACTTAAATGGATTCTTGGAGAGATGGTTAAAATCTCTCCAAGAATCAAAGACTGCAACAAAAATTAGTAATGGATAATAATTCCTAAATGCTTGCTAAGACCTTAAAGCCCCGTTCACATTGAGCGATTTATCGTGCGGTAATTCCCGCGATATCGCGTCAAATTACCGCGCGATATCACGCTGCAATGCATTTCAATGGGGCAAAGGGTCCTGCTGTCGCGGGTCGTGTGTCGCTACAGCAGGACCCTTTTCGGAGTGGATTTAGCCGCGATTCAAGCTTGGTCAATGCAAGCTTGAACGCGATATCGCGCGGCAAATCTCGCGGTATCGCGCAATATGCAAATCTCGCGATATCGCGCAATATGCAAATCTCGCGATATCGCGCAGTGGGAAAGGGGCCTAAAAGAAAGCTACCTATCAAAGTTATTTGCCTTGTCGCTGCATGCAGAAACATATTACTACCAAATGCACAATTAAACAGAATCAACTTCTAAAGCCAATAATTGTTTTGACAATTGAAGTAGTCGTCTTACCTTGTAATTTTTTTCACAGCTTAGTCCTCCAACTCCCACAGTGTATGTTGTTTTCTTCATCAAAGCATCTGTGTGATGTAGAAACTGAGATACAGACTTTGACAGTTCACTCCCCTTGATTCCCGGCCACTCTGTAGAGAAGATGCACTCTTGATTGACAGCTCTTGTCACTGTCCTTGCGCTTTTTTATCACAAAACATGGCTCCTCTTCCAGTTCTAGTGCCTCTGCTGGTTGCTTGGAGAGCATCCCCCCCCCCCAGCAGCATTCCTGTGACCTCACTTGTGTCATGAAGGTGCAGAGACAGTAAGATAAGGATTGTCAATCAAGAGGCCGTCACCTTTGCAGAGCGTGACTGGGAATGAAGACAAGTGAACGGTCAGTCTGTAGCTCAGTTTCTACTGCACACAGAAGCATGGGATAAAAGGTAACATATACTGTGGTGACTTGATAGAGTTGTGAAACATAGTACAAGGAGAGACTTCTTAACTGATTTCCAGATAAAGACACTAAAAAGTGTAACTGCAAAAAATAAACACGATTCAAGCTACATTGGCTTCCTAACACAGGTTTTCCAACTTAAAACAGGCCACCTGAAATGTTTTGGCAATCTTGCTAATATCCCATTAATATTTAAATATAAAAAGATATACCTACTTGTTTATGACATCCACAATGAAATAAAAGGGAAATATTCCCCAACATACCTAGACCACTTTGCTTCATTTCTGATGAATGCCTAGGATATGTAGTGAAGAGACGGTAGCCTCCTACCTTGGAGGATGTTTCGGAGAGTACCTGGTGAAAGAGGAAACACTTTTGACCACAATTACAAAAAATACGGCCAACCAGGGTCAGCTATCAAAAATCAAAATGTTCTGCACAGACTAAACAGGCCACTTAAAAACACGTCAGGGATGCACTAGTGTACATTTACAAAGGAACATCAAAATCAAACGTAAGGTGTCAGGTAGCAAGGAAAAAGCAGGTACAGAAAGAAAGTGGTTATCCATAAAAGCAGTGCTAGTTTTAGGCTAAGCAAGAACTGCCAAAGAATCTTAAACCTTCCCTTTCAGTCCCCAGCAGTGTATGTCTTATAGAGTTCTACATCAGCAGTGCTCATTGCTATATGTAGTTCATAAGTGCTAAGTTGGTGGAATACATGGCCATGGCCAATTTTCAATAATGAATCCAAACCAAACAAATATACATTGCCCAGCTAAGTATTTCATTACATTGTTGCCCAATCACTTACAGTCAGTATGTGTCCAAACAGCTGACCCCTACTCTTTCTGCTCGGCTTACCTCACTGCCTGTCCAGTACAAGATCACAAGGAAGAGCACAGTCCCCAGCAGCTGACAATCTACTAGCTTGGAGAAGGGGGGAGAGGAATGGCTTGCCTTGCTGTGCCTGTGTGTTTATGGAGTCACACACATCTTACTAGCACATACAAGGGTGGCTCCATAGGAACCTGCAATGGAAAGGAGCCACCCTAAAACAGGATATCAGGGCCAGTGGTCAGGAGACCAGCTGATTCTGCAGAAAGCTAAAACTTTTAAACATCAGGAAGCCGCATCCATTGTAAGTGTTTTTATGAGCATTTGAAATAAAACCTTTTGACTTTACTTTAAAGTGACACTAAGGAGTTAAATCCTAAAAATGCATTAATTGTGCCTTAACTATTAATAAAAATGTAACTTGTGTGTATCACTCAGATGTAGATTCTCAAATCATCTCTGAATTGGTGCCGATACTATCCTTCCTTCTGGAGGGGGGCTACTTTTGTTGCCCATGGTCCCTGTGTGTTGTTAGGTAGCCACCACTCCAAGCTTGCTCACGCAATAAACAAAAATCTCAATATATATTAGTAAACTAAACGTGAGATTGCAATCCATCACAGGAGCGAGCTTGGAGCAGGAAGGTCCCACAATGTCACATAAGATAATTGGGTGCACACATTGGAGAGGGGGCTCGGGGCTCTCTTTCCCTCGCTCTCTCTGCTGTAGGCTGAAAACACTGATAGCTGAACAGAACACTACGGGTACAAGTGCTGCCTGTGTGTTTTGGGGAACCCATCGTGGAGCACCCTGTTAGGGACTGACCTGAGTTAATTTAGAGGTTTGGACGAACAGATGCTCTTTTTTGTTTTACGTTGTGCACTTTCTGTACAAAGCGCTCCTGCACTGAAAATGTGTTTGTTCACCGTCTTGCTAAATAAATGAGCAGGACAAACTTGGTTAGACTGTTCCTGGGTGTCCTCGTCTCGTGCATGGTTTACTGCTGCCACTTGAGCCTATCCCCCTTACAATATATATATTGAAAAACCGGATGTGCCAGTAAAAAAAGTGAACCCCCTCAAGACATTTACATCATATGCAGGCTATATGTGTACAGATAGCTGATTAAATGTAGAAGCAATTAAATGTAAATGCAGATGTTCAAAAGAGTTCTTATACAAAGCTATCACACAGCAAACTATTTCTCATTAAAAACTGTCCTAATCTGCACAAGAATATTTGATGGGCTTTGATTGGTTACTTTGAATTATACTACACTTTATTTACACTAGCTTTCATCTCTCTGGTAGAAAACCTCTTCTAAAACAAGGATGTTTCAGAGTTGTATATGAAGCCACATTTCCTTGTTTTAGTTCATTTCTATTTCATGTATGGATAAAATGTAATTAGTGAAGTACTTCTTCAGAATGATAAAACAGGTTAAAGAGCACATTAAATTATTCACAGCTATTTATTTGCTACAACAAAACCGAAGATTACTTCATTTTATGGTACATTGCTTCTTTTCAATCACTAAATCTCATACAAGCTTTAAACATGCTAATTTAATTTGAAAAGTAATTTGCAATATTTTTTAAATCAGAAGATTTCATTAAAATAATACCCAGTAGTCCTGACATACTTCTTGTTCAGGCACTTCTGTTATAGGATGATAACACTCTTTCCCTGTCTACTAATTGTGCTCTTGCATCGTCACCCTGTCACACGTTTACGATATATATATTACACAGGCATGGTACACTGTTGAATAACTAAATGAGCTGAGCTACAACAATGAGCAATACAAAAAAACAATAAAAGAATCTGACTCAAACAAATGTCAGTGAATATATAGTAAAATGATCAAATGTGAAGTCTGTAAATGTTCATAACTCTGAAGATGTCAATAAATAAACAGCAATAGTGATGCATGTTTCTTGTTCCTTCACCAAATGCACCACACTAGATATAGGGATGCTCACCTTATTGATAGACCCCAACAAAAAGTCAAAAATGGAATTGCCTGATTTGACCTTTTGTTGGGGGTCTATCAATAAGGTGAGCACCCCTATATCTAGTGTGGTGCATTTGGTGAAGGAACAAGAAATATGCATCACTATTGCTGTTTATATATGGACATCTTCAGAGTTATGAACATTTACAGACTTCACATTTGATCCATTTACTATATACTCACTGACATTTGTTTTAGTCACAGATTCTTTTATTGTTTTTTTTTTTGTATTGCTCACAGTTTTAGCTCGGCAAATTTAGTTATTCATTTTTCACGTATACACTCACAGTGTGTGTACATTCCAGTGCCTTGTAGCTGTTAGCTTGCTTATTGGCGCAGTTTATTTCTCTATATTTTGAATGGTACACTGTTGCCACCAGGAGGGAACAGGCCTAAGAAATGCAATGCCATTGCTGAAGCGCATGCATGAAGATACAAACTGGATACAAAGAGGCTGGAGAAGATCAGCAGCACTGAGATGCAACACAGAATGAAAAAAGTACTTTAAGATTCCCCAAAAAAATAACCATGTAGCTGTGAAGGTGCATGGGGTGTCAGCAGTGTACAAAACAAATCCTTGGTGCCCCACTACCTCTTTGCTGACATCTAGGTTCATGAACAGGCCAACAAGAGTGTGTTTGAGACTATAAAATGGCAGACGGGGCATGGACGAGAGTGACACTTATTGACAAATTCACCCCACAGTGTTCAGTGCAAACATTGTCTATTTCTTTTTTTTTTTTTTTTAAATCACAAGTTCACTAAAGCATTTTCAGGTACCTTTGTATTTAGATCCAACAACCTGCCATCTAGAAAATCTACCAAATCAGCTTAAAGTAGAAAAAAATAAAACTGAATATCCAGTATTGCCCACCATTTCATTGATTTAAAGATTTGGAATGGTTGTATTTGTGATTTTTAGAAGGATGGGCATCTTGAAGAGGAATATTGTCTTAAAAAGGCAATAGTGTACAATACATTAAATGTAAATGCAATAAAGTTATACCAGCCATTTTAACTAAATTGCGTATTTGGATATAAATAAAAACACACAATTTTAGTAAACTTTTCTTAAGTAAACATAGTACCCATAAAGTCCAATTTCTTGGGTTGTTGGGGTTAAAGCAGAACTGGAGCTAAAACTTTTCTCTTGTATTTCATTTTGGATAGAGTAAAGGAGGGTTATTACCCCCCAGCTTTTTTTCCCCATCTCTGTCCCACTAGGGAGATTTACCATCCATTCTTGTCCAATAGCCACAAGAGGATGTAAAAGGACGTCCCTCCAAAGTATGGGAAATTCCTGGTGGTCTGCAGGGTTTCCAGAACTAATGTCCCCATTGGAAGATTTCCAATCTATTTCTGTTCTGATGACAACCAACAATTTGACATTCTTTTTCACTTTCAGTGGTAAGTCACAAGTACAAATAGAGAGGGTGAATCTCCCTAAAAGGGATACAGACAGCAAAAAAACATGACAGGTGATCTAATCCGTTTCAATACTATCCAAAATTATTTTTAAATGTCTTCAGTTGCACTTTAAGAAAATAAGCTAATATGAGTTTTTTTTTTTTTTTAAAGACTTAATTCTGAAAATAGTATGAAAATGTGTATTTACATAAGGGTAACTATATTACTCTATTACACATGTCAGCTCTGCTTTCTGCTTAGTAGTAAATGTACAATGACTGCGTTTACACTTGCTGGCTTTGCTTACAGTTTTGTAGTACTGTAAAATGACTGATTACATATTCCGCCTGATTTCTGTTTAGTAGTACTGCACAATGATTGTGGTAACACATGCTGACTTTACTTACTGCTTAGCAGTTCTCTGCAATGACTGTCCTTACAAAAGCAGTTAATAAATGGCTAGAAAAATAGTTGGTAGGAAGCTTGCTGCGTGTTAAAAAATATTGTTGTGCAAGCCATCTGCACTTAAACATAATGCAGTTCTGAAGAATCCTTAGAACCTTTATATACCGATTAATAAATGTTACAAAAAACTTGTTTACAGAAAACATTTTTTTACTTGAGTTTCTAACTAGTTCAATCAAAGTAGCATAGAGACAAGATATTTATGACATATTTATTTATCGATATGCCTGGAGAGAATCTTTAGGGCTTGTTCACACCAATTGCAGTGCGTTCCAGAGCGGTAGCACTCACAAAACGCTCCCCTGCGTTCTCAGGCGTGGCGGTGCATTGAAGTCAATGGCAGCTACCGCTCTGGAACGCACCGCAATTGGTGTGAACAAGCCCTTAATGATACATAATACCTGTGTGAACAGCCATGGACTAAGACTGCAATGTTTCACCCTCATGGCTGCATACTATTTCGGAGGTGCCGCTGTCTCTCACAATAAAAAGTGATCACATAAGTTTAACAATAAATAAAGGTTTAAATAAATGCTTAACATTAAATATCAAATATATGGGTTCTGTCTCACTGGCACAAACTTAGTTTTGTGTCCAGAATACAGAGACTGACAGTTTACAACAGAAGCGTTTCAAGTATGTATTTATCTTAACGACAGATGCCCTTTAAAAAAAAGAAGTATTGGGAGAGTAAAATGTACTCTTCTCAATACCTAGAGCTCTATAGATTGAGATCTGAGCGTTCAGGAACTGCTGATCACTCAGCTCACAGTCTTCTTCCGGCAGCAAGAGGTGACTGTCAGTCACCCCTCCCTGTAGGGATTCCCCTCTCTATTCCATAGGCGCTCTTTGGAGGGACAGGCAGTGAAGGGGGTGGGCACAGCTGTCAATTAGGCAGCGCGGTGGATCCTGAAAAAAAAAATTGTAAATAGCAGGCTATTGTTTGGCTTTAGTTCCCTTTTAAATGTATGATGGCTTTTAAAACAGGCATTTGTCCAAAAAAAAATAAAAAAAATAGGTCGATATGAAGAAGTTGTCATTTTTCTATAGAAAACATTTAAGTTTCTGACAAATTCCAAAATGTAAACATTCAGCTAGACAGAATAGTCATGTGGTGGTTAGAGGTTTCAGCAATGCAAAGAATAGTGATGCTATTAAATTGATAATACAATAGTAAATCTTGGTTTGCTAATGGCCCTATTGAAATATGTACACTTTTACAGGAAGTTAACTTCAATGATGCCATACTTAACATCTATTTTTACATAATAGGACAGATAACTATACAAGAAGAAAACCAACACTACAAAGGAAAGCTTGCAGTAAAACAAATGGCACTCATTAAATGCACATCAAGCACATCTTTTCTATGGTAAAGTCAGATGAATAATGAACATTTGAGGTATTCAAAAGAGAAGAGGGAGCATCAAAGACCATAGACTAACACAGAGGCTTTCACGGAGTAGAAGAAAATTGGGACAACGTTGTTTTTTGAAACGGGAAGCTTATGTGCATAATTACAAATCTCCATCAATTGGAAATAATTTAGCAATAAATAAAAAAAATATATATCATAGAAACTGGAAAGGAACAATACACTTTTGTGTATTGCCAGTAAGGCAAGTTGCAGAAATTGTGCTAAAAATATATTAAACATGGGGGACTTGTTTTATGACAAAGCAATAACAACAGGTGATCCAAAAACAGATTTATTAGTCTGCCCACACTAAGCTGTTAAAGTGCATTTATGACTATGGCTTACTGCATGGTATTGCTCCATGTGCTATTGAGTAAAGCAGAAACATGATGTCACACAGGTTTGTGACGGCAGAAAACACATTATGCATGCTGTCTGCAGAAGTGAAAAGTGACACCTCTACTTTCAATATGAAAGGAGGATTTTCAGATTAAATGGAAATCACCCATTTTACTTTGAGGTCACCATGCTGCAACGCAGAGGGGTGCCCAACAAGTGTTAATAAAAATAACAGACTAATCCTTACCAATTACTGGGGTGCTCAGATACTAGCACTGTGCCTGTATGGTCACTACACAGCATTAGATTTCATCAGTAAAACATAATGAAAATGAAATCTAGAATTGCAGCTCCTGGTCCGGAACAAGCAAGTTCAGGAGAGGTAACCTTCATTAAGTAGGACAAACTGCCAAAAGTAGATTGGTTCTTTCTATGTATAATGGGATATATACAAGAAACATTTTACTAAGAAAAATGGAGACTGCCATTGCTAACAGTTGCAATAGACAGTCATATTTAGACACGCTGTGCATTTATAGAACAGGAAAGAAAAGGTAAGGCAGCTGAAGATGTTATAACACAAAGACCCCACAATTTCTGTCTTACAATAGGACTATGATTGTTTGTTATCATGATAACTATGGTAGATTCATTATCTATGGAACCCTACTACAATAAAGCAATCATTATTAACCTACTAAATAAATATTTTCCTATAAAAGGGATACAAAATCAAATCACATATGATACAATAGTCAGTCATTTCCATTCTGTTCATATCATACAGACACACGAGATACTCAAAAAAAAAAAAGCAAAGCAGAGAATCTAGCATCTAAGAAAAAGAGGGAAATTCAGGAGTGAAGGTAGCGGGAGCTGGGTGGCTCATGGACAACTAACTGTAAAAACAAAAAGACACCTGTCGCCATGATGCCAGGTTAGAGATGGACATGGCTCTGGACTGCAGAGTGATGGAGCAAGGGGAGTGATGGGGTTCTCCCGATTTTCTCCTCCGGCGCCCTTTATTTGACATGAATTCCAAACTCCCTGTGTTACTGGCATTCATCACCTGAAATCAAATCCGTGGACAGGAAGGTTTCAGCCTAAAACAGCTAACTGCATTTTAAAGTACTACTGTAGTGTCAAAACACCAAATCCATCAACTGGAACAGTGTTTCCCAAAGTGTGGTACATGTACTATACTGTATGTATGTATGTATATCATTATCTTACAAGAGGGCTGGATGAAAATCATCAAAGAGCCACTTTTCTTCCATCACAGTGTAATTACATGGCACATGCATCCTACTATCAATGGCAGGATTATAGATTGTACTTTCACATGGCAAAGGCCAGGAAGAAGCACGACTGACCATTGTTTGGGAAGCACTGAACTAGTACACACAAGATAAATAATGACTCACAGTTCACTCACTAATGGCAACTATGACAGCAAACCATCAAATTTTACTCTACCATAGTAATTGATGGTAACAGGTGATAGTCAAAGTTTTCCTTAAAGTTTAAATAATGGATAAAAGAGAGGAATAGATAGTAGATAGGAAATGTTTTGTTTCCCAGTATAAGAGTTACAGGGTAGAAAAATTTACTTCTAAGAAGACTATCAGCTAAACTCAGTTCCACATTGAGAATAATGTAATTGACATTCATATTGTTTTTCACAGTGATCCATCGGAAATAATTGGTATGATTAATCACAGTTATTAACAAGGGATGAGTATGCCCTCTCCCTTGTCTTCTCTCCTCACCACTGTTTGTATTCCTAGTTACCAGCTATGTTTGTTGTTTTGTTTCTTATGCCCTTTTATTCCTTGTCATCCACTTCTGAGACTGGATGTCCCAAGGTTTGCTGCCTAATATTGCGGTTGCCAAAACAGAATATTTTCCATTATGTCATGTTGGCTATGTTAGGCTGGTTCTGGCACAGCTAAATTGGTTCTGCTATGTCATTTCTATATAGTACCTCTATGCATTTTGTATGACTATCTGTAAAACTACCTTTGAAAACTTAATAATAATTATTGAAGGAAGAAAGAAAACGCATGTTATGGAATACTGTGTAATCAAGTGTTTAAAAGCAATGCTCTAGAGGGAGATTTAACTAAAAATATTACTAAATGTTGAACTCTTTAAACACAAGATAGATGCATTCAAGTTTGCTGGCTTCTCAACTGTGACAAGTGCTGAGAGCAAAGAAAATCAAAACTAAAATGCAGTTTCTGAGCAAATGTTATGTTTTAAGTGTCATAGAAGCCTTTTAATTCTGCTTCAGCAAGTAAATGTATAAATCGGTATATAGTATGCAGAGGAATTAAAATGGCAAATCCATCTCTCTCTGGCCCTAGTAATTACACATGTATTATTCACTGGTGCAGAATTACATTCTGTTTCTTCTGCACAATAATAACTGACTCAACAAAAATTTTTACATTTCATTCACATTGGTGATAGACCCTTTAGGAAACATTGCTGTGTTAAAGCTAGTACATTTAATCAATAAAACTTCTCCATAGCTTGCTGAATAATTCCCATCAATGTAAATGTAAGCAATTAATATCTTATATACACATAAAAGTGACACACATCCCAAACAGAAATAAAAAGGACATACAGAGCAACATGTGGCTTTCCAATGAAGTAAACAAAAGTAAAACTGATTAAGATTTAAAAGTTAACATAGCTCTTAAGCCTTGTTTAGATGTCAGTCGCCTGGCGCTCAGGAGGCAATAGTGCCGCCTCCTCAGTGATGGGGTTTTTTTTTATCCCAAGGGGGATTTTTTTTGGACATGCCAAGCATTTGTAACATGGTTGCGGCACAATCCCATTGCCTCTATGGTCCTGTTTGTCATGCTGTGTAATTTTTGCCACACAGTGAAGCAAAACATTGCAGCTGAGGCAAAGTATAAAACACTGTCTGGCGGCAATGCTAACGCTGCAACGAATGGCTGAGGAGCAGTAAAAAACGCTGATCAACTACTAGATTAAACCGCCCCTCAGTCGCCCATCTAAACGAGGCCTTAAAAGGCTTTTTTTCACACTTTACAGAGGGTGGAAGAACTATTATTGGTAAAACAGAAAATCTACACAGGCTTTGACCAATAGCACACAACATTTGTTCAGATTTAGGGTACCATCTATTCTAGGTGTGGGCCAAATGGGTGCTGGGACCCATGCCACTGTCAGGTAGACCGGGACACAACTACTTTTATTGAGTTGTCAATTAAAGAGGAACTTTACCCATATCTTCAAAATAACAAAGACGCCTAGAGGCCTTGTTCACACCGAAAGCGCGTGCGTTCCAGAGCGCTAGGAGGGGGCGTGGCGGTGCATTTGATTCAATGGCACCGCTTCCACGCCCCCCGCGTGGAAGCGGTGCCGTTGAATTGCGTTTGCAGTGGAATGGAACTCTGGCAAAGTTTTGCCACGCGTCCAATCGCACTGCGGGCGTGGAAGCAGTGCCATTGAATCAAATGCACCGCCACACCCCCTCCCGCCCCAAAACGCGAGGGGAAGTTTCTCAACGATTGCGGTGCGTTCCAGCAGCTACCGCTCTGGAACACACACGCTTTCGGTGTTAAGCCCCAAGAAATGATTAGTAATGGCAATCTACAAACACATACTTCTAGATAATTACCAACTTTTAATTCTTTGCATACCTTCTTTTTCTTTTCATCCCCATTCTTCTCACAGTGGCCATTTTTACTGAGGGCAGATTAATCCATCTCCCATTTACTTCCTGCAACTCTAGCACATGTGACTTGAGATGATGTGCTTGGTCACATGTCCTAGAGAGGAAAATGCCTTTCCCTGAGATCTTATGAGATTTCACAGCAATGCTCTACTGATGTAATCTTCCCAGGATGCAATGCTTGGGCACAATTGTATAATTTGTACCAAAGTGGACCAGGAAGTGAAAAAAATCTGTTTGGAATATGTGTTAAGATATTCGATAGGATGAGAACTGTTTAAGCATTTGTGATATAAATGTAACAATGCTAATTAAATAAAACCTTATGGACATTTATTATTTCATTTTTTTTCTCTTCCTTCATTATGTCTTCTGCAAACTTCAGTTGTGATTACCTCGTGCATTTAGACACACACTTACAATCCAGTTGAACAATTCTTCCTCAGCTGACCAAACCTTATACTTATGGTAGCACGTGTAGCCTCTTTTAGATTAGCGATACCAGGATCATCAAGATTAAAGGTGCCCATACACTGCTCGATTCTCGTACGAGAATCGCGGGAAATCCCGCGATCGTACGAGAATCGAACAGTGTGAACGAAGACGTGCGACCGTTTCTACTGTATGGTCGCACGTCTTTTATCTAAGGAGCATGTTAGAAAACCAGCCGACAATCGTACGATTTTCGGCTGGTTTGAACAGTGCTCGGGAGACAAATGCCGAACGGGCCGGTGTGCGCACGCGCACACTGCCCGTTCAGCATTGCGGTCATCGGAAGCGATGATCGAGAGTACGATCTGCCTGTCCAAGGTGGGCAGATCGTACGTTTTTTTAATCACTTTACAACCATCGCAAGACTAAGGTCTTGCAATGGTTGTACAGTGTATGGCCACCTTTACTCGCCATCACTGCAATAAACTGGACATATGAAGGGTATAAAAGACATGCTTGATGCCTGTTGGAGTTTAGACGCAAATATTTTAAGACTGTATATGGAAGAGAGTATCTATAGCATTTTAGAGAAACAGAAACATTTTATCCTTATACAGATTTCTTAATATAAAAAGCACCAATTCCTAGTGGGTGTATTCACAATGAAAGGATTTTCCTAGTTTTACCTTTATCATGTTTCATTTAGAAGACAACCATTTAGAAAGTATATCCTGTCAGGATATCAGAATAAACTATATCATTCATTGTATAAAATATCATACTGTAAGTTACCAAATCTGTTTTAAGTCTTCCTCAATAACCTCTAAAAAATACTATGCCTGTTGATCCATACATTTTTAGTGGCAATTTATTTCTACTATATGCCCTCAATGAAGTGTTAACTGCAGAGAAAACATTTTAAAATACATGGGGGCCGAATCTACTTGTCCTGATACAAAAAAAATAATTTTAACCAAAACCGTATTTAGCAGTGTTAAGAAGCGCTTCTCATTGGTCAGTGCCGTCAGGTGACTGCGTTGACCAACGAGTGCTGGCAATTTGCGAGCAAAATTCAGAATACATGGAAAAGGTACAGATAGTACACCCGTACGGGTGGACGGGAAGGACCGTTTGCTGAAAGGTAAGTATAATGGGAGGGGATTTGTGCGAGTAATTCCATTTTCCCAAATTACTTGGGAAAGTGAATTTACCCTTTAGGGTTGGTGCAGACTTGGGGATTCCCAGGACGTGCGATCGTGTGCGGTTGCACACAGCGGTTGCATCCGCATGTATGGGGTTACATCTGTGTGGCAATCGCTGAAAAAAGGTAGATGTACCTATTTTCACGACATGCACCACGCAGTGTTTTCAACCGTGATTGCCCGCGGCGGTATTGCTGCAGGAAAACGCGCAATCTGCCTGGCATGACCGGGGTGCCATTAGAAAATATTGGCACTGACAGCACGATCGGCGGTGGTGTGCGATTCCGTGACCACCCAGCCATCCGCTCGGTTTCATGCACGATGACCGTGGAGTCACGGATCGCACACCACTGCCGACTGCGCTGGCAGTGCCATTATTTTCTAATGGCACCCCAGTCATGCCTGGCAGATTGCACTGTGCATTTTTTTCGCATGCTGATGGGGGCAGCGGGGCTGGTTTTAATTTTTTCTATTTTTATTTAGTTTGTAAAAAAATGTCCCCGCTCTCGTCGCTCCACGCCCCCCGCTCGCAGCGCCGCTCTCGGCGCTCAAAGAAAACCAGCCCTGCTACTTGTCCGTAGCAGGGCTAAAACAGTGCAAAAATCACTTGCACGGCGCCCGGAACTACATGTCCCAGGCGTCGGGCGATACGAATTCCACACCCCTGACACTAATATTAAACGTAAAGTAAAACGGCAGAAAAGTAGGCATGCAGTGTACACAAAGCCCTATTTATCTGAGCTTTAGGTATCCTATAAAAGTTGACATATCCAGACTGAAATAGGTGTTCTAAAACAAGGAATATAAAAAAAACAAATGGACTCACCGTCTAAGAAATTGCACTCCTGATCTTGTGACTGTGTAACGACCTAAGTACTACCTTAAATATATGTAATGCCTAGCTTTTGCAGAAACAAGGTCTTAAATCAATATATAAAATTACACAAATGCTTTGAAACAAGCTCAAAAACTGTTGCTCTTCACATTTCAAGGAGACAATAAAAAGGAAAAATATTTCAAACAAAAACTGCAAATAGCTCAAGCTGCAAACATTTAAAAAAAACCTAAAAGCTAATCTGCAAAAACAAAAACTCATTTGCTGATAATTTAGTCACTATTTTTTTTTAGAATGGCAAGAAAAACACAATGGGGGGAATTCATAAAAACTGAAGCAGACAGAATCTGGAATGAATGATTGTCCATAGGAACCAATCAGTTTCTCGGTTTCATTTTCAAAGCTTAGATGAACAAACTGAAGAGAAGAAGCTGATTGGTTACTGTAAGCAACTGTTCCAGATTCTGCTCCAATTTTTTTAAATTCCTCCCAATGTTATTATGAATATTTTTATCCATGGGCTTGTTATGTGTGCTTATTAGGGCCCTTTCACACCAGCAACAACACTACAAATCATGGCAACGTGTTGTACCATGTAAAATGCACTTTTTACTTTTTTTTTTAAGCCAAATGCAGCGCAGTGCATTGCAATAGGACACAAGGAAAACTGCCTTATCTATGCATTGGGACTGTGATGACCAGCACAACCAGACATGGCTGGTGTGAATAAGCCCTAAATATTCTCGATCATTTCCCTGTAATAAATATTCAGGAGACACATTTTTACTATTCATCAAAAATAAATTCAAATCAGTCTGCAATATTTAAACTAAAAAACGATAGTTTTTTTAATATACATTGTTATATGCATTTCTAGCTTTTACTGAGAACAGATAAAGCAAAGAAAATATAATCTGTAAATGAACAAATACAAACTTTAGACTGCATTTAAAAAGCAGTATAAAACTTCATAAAGCCCCCTAAGTATTTTACCTCCATTGACCCAGTCTTCCTGGCACGGGTTAGGGGAGACTTTCTAAGGATGCCGATTGGCTCAGACGGAAGTGGTGACATCAGTATGGATCTGTCAACATCATCTGCGCCCTTTACCTTGGACAAGTCTTCCAGACTACCTGGGTCTGTCTTTTTATCTTCACTCTATTGATAATAGGTGAAAAAAGTAGCAGTAAGGTAAAAATTGCATTGAGTCAAGGCTAGTTAGTCTTAAATGTCAACTGTCTCTGGAATAAAAGTGTAAAAAGTGTCACCGACTTTACAGATGGTGCAAAAATATGCAAAACAATCACACCAATTGTGATGCGTTCCAGAGTGGCAGCTGCTGGAACGCACCACAATCGCTCACAAAACTTCCCCCTGCGTTCTGGGGCGTGGCAGTGCATTGAATTCAGTGGCAGTGGCAGTGCGATCGGGAAGTGTGGCACTCGGGCCACGGTAAAATTATTAAACGTTGACCGGTCCGCGGCGATAAAAAGGTTGGGGAGCACTGCCCTAGGGTGTGCAGGAAAAGTTTGAGACAAAAACAGTGATATCTACAAGCACCTTGCAGAGGCTATTGTGCCAATAACATGTTTTATAAAAGAAAATTCTAGAGCTTTAATTCTAAATGACAAGTCAATCTAATAGTACAAGCCAATCTTGATATAAAATAATGTCTATTTCTTGTGATTCTGCATACAGTATCAATAGTGAAGAGCTGCCCTGTAAATCTGTTACTGCAGTAAAATGTAATTGTAGTCTTAACAGCCCTAAAAGTATCTGACTGCTGCTGTTAAGTGCCAACACATTCCAGAAATCAGATATATTTCTCCTTTATACTGTTCTGTGTGAAGTATTACTGCTAGAATGAATGCTGATTGGGTAACTGGAAATGGGCCTACAAGAACAAAAAACAGCATGGTACTAAAATATTAGTACTGGGCAGTTTTTCAGAAGGCTGGAATGCACCATAGGCATTCAGAAAAATGTGTCTCTGCCTACTTCAGCAGAAGCCGGTCGAAATCCAAATCCCAAGGGAGCTTTTTCATCTTCTTCACAGCCTTTGACTCCTGGACTGAAATGCAGCTCTACATGAAATCTCTCTTCTGAAGATGGGTCCTGCAATGCAGAAGAACAAACAAAAATAACTATACACTTACTATACCCATCAACCAGTTATTACACAAAAAGTCTGTTAAATAAAAGTCTGGTTCATAAAAGTATGAACCAAAGCAAATATCCCTTAGCAAGTGAATATGGTCTAATTTAAAAGACTGCTGAAGCTGTACATGAAAAATGGCTGCTGGCTGATCCAGCCAAATATACTTGTTACTGTGTATTTGATTGAAACAAAATTTGCATCCAAGACCTGCTGTCTGTCTGTTTGATTACCCTTTTCTACAGCTATTATGGCATTTGACATAGTGAGCCTATATTTCGCAACTGTTTTGCAATTATTGGGTATCTTATATATTGTATAAAGTTTGAGAGAAACTCTTCTTGCACCCGTCTAATTAAAGTCTGTAACTGATCATTACAGGGGAAAGCCTCTCCACACTAATGTAACGCAATAAAAGCAATATCTATGGTTAACCAACTGCAATATCTTTCTTTGCTAGCGATTCATTGGAATCATCTGAAGTACAAAAATAGGTTGTAGATCAAAGATCAATGATAGTTTGTATTTCTGAATTCTTTCTGAACTGCTCAGAAGCTCCACATTTAACAGAGATGGGAGGGACAGGACATACTATGTACAACCTGTGTACTTAGATTAGGTTTTTTGGGCGTACATGGCACACCTACTGTCCACAAGCTGTTAATGTATATACGGTTAAATAAACAAAATAAACTTTGCCATTGTGAAATATGAATTATTGAGCTTAATTCCTTTAGCACACAGGGATGGGTGCCATCTGGACCAGATTATCCATCTTTCTTAATTGGTTTTAAGGCCTAAAGCTGGCTATACATGACTGGATTTCTCTCATTCAGTCCAGCAGGCTGAACGAGAAAAGTTGCTCAATTCCCCCATCCACACTAAACAGCGTGGGTAGAGGAATCTCCTCTGCTTACTACTGTATTGTGACAGCCGGCATCGGCGACTGATGGGTTTCCAATCAGTGACTTAATTTGACTCATCAACAAACTTTCCACCCTGCTCCTTTAATTTTCTAATCAAAATTTGTCAAGCCAGGTGGTGCCAACAGGGCCACCCATAGCTCAAATTCCAGATGATTTAGAAGGAATCGGCAACATTTTTTTTCAAGGCAAATATTGTTGAATGATAGGCAATGGCTTCATCTTTTAGTCATATTGACTATGACAATATATTTTAAAAAATATTACTCTTTTGAAAAAAATGTCCATATCTGGCAGGATTTATACTTGAACAAAATGATCTAAAAAAAAAAGAGAGAATAAGGGGAATTTATCAAAACTGGAGCAGACAAAATCTGGAGCGGTTGTGCATGGCGACCAATCGACATCCACCCTTCATTTTCAAAGCTTAACTGAACAAACTGAAGAGATAAGCTGATTGGTTGCCATGCACAACTGCTCCAGATTTTGTCTGCTCCAGTTTTGATAAATTCCCCCCAATGTGTTTGACAGCTTCAACACGTTCCGGTATAAACTCACCTTATTGTTGTCTTCGTATAGCATGATAACAATTTGTGTCATGTAGTTCAGCTCTGACACAGCACTTAAATAATCCATTGCTCTTTTCCACTGCTGATCTTTAGACTCCTATGAAAACACAGCATCAGAACTCTTGTAAGGATGCATTATGTATGACCTGAATTTATCTACTTTTTCACAAGCAACTGCACTGATTAAGGTTTTTTTTTAAAGTGATCCTGTCAGTCGTTTTAAACATGTAACCCTTTTATAATACTTGTGTAAATGTTAATCAAAACAATATTTGTGATAAAAATATAGTAGAATTGTTACTAGTACACACAAACAACAATCTTCACAGTATATAAAAAATAAAAGTACATTGGGTAGTAAATTACAAATATGCACACATTTAAAATGATGTGCTTTTGCAATACAGTAAAGATTAAAATATGCAAAATATAAATAACTGGTTGAGTCTCTGCACATTCACAAATGGTATGACTAAAAGTGTCAGTGGTAGAACCACATTTCAAATCAACACCAGAAAAGGATTATTTGATTCTGAATGGCGAAAACATGGGGAGAATAAAAATAAAATATTATTTGTCTTGTGGCAGAAAAGCAATGCATTTTAAACTATTAGCCTTATTTTATATTATCACATCTTAATATATTATCATAATCTTACTTACATCCAAGAGTCCTCCATAGCGAAAAATGCTCAATAAGGAGTGTACGTGACTCTCGCTGGTAAAATAAAGCCGCGTCCTGACATGACGACCTGGAGACAGAACTCCTCTGGAATAGCTAAGAACCAAGGTTACACAAGTTTATTGCTTAAATTGGTAAATTATAAAGGGCAGTATTTTTTTTTTTGTTGCTATATTAAACCCATTGATAGCAAACAAGTATTAAATCCCTGTTTCCCTGAGAACACACTATCATAGCTAAGTACACAGCTATTCCATGGCAGGGAAACATTTTGGCCTGCAGGTGATTTAGAGATAAATGTTTACATAGCAGCTATCTGCCAGGCACCAATGAAAGTGAATAGGATATGAACCCTCAAATAGAGTCTCCTTACACAGATGAGCCATGTCGCAAAAGCATGGCTTCTTGACAGTGGATCACTTCCCGCCAGGTAGAAACCTAGCATAGTAGCATAGCGTTCGTACTTGACTGCTCCAAGTGTATCATTTCAAATCTATTCTAGAACATCCAGACATTTTGGAACACGAACGGGGGGGTTTGGAAATCCTCCAGTGGGGCGGAGCAATTCTTTCCCATAGGGAGATCTCCTCTCATTTGTGTCTTGACTTAACATATATATATATTATATATATGCATATACACATACACATACATACACACTATATGTTCAGCATCTGTTTGCTCACAGCGCAATCTCATCTAATAGAGGTAGAATGCACAAGCCCGTGTTGAAATACAGTTTTAAAAAATTGACATGGCAAGTAACAGATGGAAATGTCGAATCAAAGATTACATTTTAAATCAACTTCACATTAATAACTCAAATGTGTGCCAAAGCGATTGACAGTTCCCCTCTAACTATATAATATAAATATATTTACCAGAATCACGCAGAGCAAAGTGAAATGCATTTTAAACTGTAATGTAATAGAAGTAGTTGATGTAACTAGAATACATTATCATGATGGATCTTACAGCGGGTGCAACTTGTTTACAGATTCATCCTCATGGGTTCTCTGCAGGTCTAGTTGGATCTTATTAATGAGAGGAAGACAGTATCCAACTGCAATCTCCAGTTTCTCCTCTTTATTAATGCCATATTCCTGGAAGAGAACAAGCCAGAGGAGATAATTAAATATACAGTAACCTAAAAAAAAATACATGATTTTCATAAAATAGATTGAGACATCTAAGAGTAAATGAAAACTGGCAACGTGCTTGAAATTGCAAAAACATCAGTGTCATTTTCAAGCTATAAAATGACCCAAACCAGGAATTAAAACGATACTAAACATGAGACCATCGAGACCATCTCATTACCAAAGGCAGACAACTAGCTCCATGCATGGTGATACCTGTTCTATCAGTGATTAAAAGCTTTCCTTATGTCATGGACTACTATAATTGTAATTTGTAAAATAAAAGATACATGAAGAAAACACTAAAAATTTATTTGGTAAATGTTTTACTAGTTCAGCTGTTTTAAATTGAGCCTCAGTTCCTGTAGAATTTTCAGTGTAGAGAAGGACCACTGCTGTGTGTAAGCAGAGCTCTCTCTTCAGCTTAACTTTCAGATTTGCAAAGCTCACGCACGCTGCCTATTTGCTGGGCTCTTTCTCCGACTCAGCAGCTGGGGGGGGGGGCGTATCGGACCTCTGCAGGGGGACCGCTGCTTCCACAAAACAGTTATCATTTTCTGCAGTGTATGCCAGAGCACTGACAGTTTTTTAGGTGCTGGAGATCAATTTAAAATGATTAAACTACTTTTTTTGGGGGGGGGTAGAAAACTCAAATTAGGCTCTAGAACGCAACTGTCATGACATAACTATGGGGGTGCTGACATTGCTGGTCGTCTTCTGAAAATACTAGTTGCCTAGCTTCATTATTTTTTTAGTCACTGTCAAATATCCATGCAGCAAGTGAAAGCCAAATATTCTTCCATCCGTAATTGCTCCAGTTTAGTGACCTAAAAGGTACTAAAGCAAAAGAATCAGCATAACAGCAGGCAAACAGCATTTTCAAAGTTTCCAACTCTGTCTCTGAGGGATATTCCACACAGACTGGTTTCCACAATAGTTACCATCATATTCATTTTCCTTGTAATACATACAAAGAAGACTTTATATATGTGTGATATCACTTTAGCCTGTAATGAAAAAACTTAGTATATTTATAACTGAAGCTTTTTTTTTTAGTTTTGGATAGCATAGAGAAGGATCAGAGTAAACTCTCTACTTATCCTGGAGACCACTGTCACTGAGACAGACAAAATGGCAAATTCATACTTTTAAAGTTGTCACCAGGATAGACGTTTCAGTAAGGACACCTGAGATTTCCTCCCACTTTCTGTTACATCTTAGGGGCAGGAAATGAGGAATTTGATCTCACCAATGAGACATAAACAGCCAAAATGAAACGGACAGATGTTTTAACCCTCCCCTAATATATCCAAAACTAAACTTGAGTTTTGGCTTTACATGCACTATAAATAAAAACAGATTTAGCAAGACCATTATAAATAGGGAAGCAGGTTGTTTACCACGACAGTAGAAGTGATTTTTTTCTGAAGATATGGGTAAACAACGCGATTTAACAGCCTTTGAACGTGGGATGATTGTTGGCGGTCGGAGCCATGGAGCGAGTATCAGCAAAACAGCAGAATTCGTTAAATGTTCAAGAGCAGCTGTTGTTAAAGTGTTTAAAGACTGGACTGTCAGCCGAAAACCTGGGTCTGAACGTGGGAATTGTGGCAGTCAGCGACTAGTCAATGTTAGGGCAGAACGGAGAGTGGCAAGACTGGTACAAGACAACAGAAGGGCAACAGTGCAGTGTCAGATTTCTCGCATCACCTTTCAACATCTACTGGAGTCACGAGGCGGCACAACAAAGTCATCTCGTGGCCCAAAGAAGTACTGATGGGGTGGTCATAACAATCTGGCCACTCAGTGAATATAATATATATATATATATATATATATATACACACACACACACACATTTTATTTGGCCATGTAACCTACCTGTGGAATTATAACATCTGCCAATGATTTGGAGAGTTTAAAAAGCTCATCTGTTCCTTCCATGTTTAGGCTGCTGTTGTGCTGAACATCATATTTGACACAATCATAAATGTCGGGAATCTTGCTTATGTCATAACGACCATTTTTCATTCGGAAATCTCTTTCCAGTTTGCTCCATCGTTGCAACATCAGCTCTAGAGTCTCACTATGATACAGCTGTAGGTCTACAAATAAAATACATCTTAACAACAAACTCCAGAGAACTACAATTAAGTGAAAGAATCAGTTGCATAGTGCGTATATAACACAACCCGACATTACTATAACCATCAAGGTATTATTAATGCCTAATACATATCTCTCATTGATGACTCAATCCACATCACTTATAAAATGTAGTATGCCTATACCATAGTTTGAAAGATTGGACCCCTTGTGTGCCCGAGATAAGGTAAAATACACATAAAATGATTATATTAGTATACTAAACACAACTCAGTGAACTGCATCAACACATGTGACCTCTAGGAAGCATAATCCCAGAAGTAGCTTAAGATGGCCAAATGTAGGACAAATCTGGGAAGATTTGCTGAAGATTCAATGAGTATTTTTTAAATATTTTAAGTAAGAAGACGCGCTGGCGCTGACTCAAGTATAAGCCGAGGGGGGCACTTTTCACCCAAAAAAATGGGCTGAAAATCTCGGCTTATACTCGAGTATATACGGTATTTAGTACACACAAAACATTACATCCAAAACTACAAAAACGTACTAAGATAAAACCAAATATGTCTGTCAAAATGACTTACATTCTCCTTCAATGCAGATAACCGTTTAAGAAGTTCTGTCACTACAGAGCATCATTTAGCATAAAGCCTAAAACATACAGGGGGGCATTTATCAAAACTGGAGCAGACAAAATCTGGAGCAGCTGTGCATGGAAACCTATCAGCATCTTTCTTCAATTTGTTCAGTTAAGATTTGAAAATGAAAGAGAGATGCTGATTGGCTGCCATGCACAGCTGCTCCAGATGCTGCCTGCTCCAGTATTGATAAATTCCCTACTGTTATTCTGACAGCTCCCAATAAGAAAGAATGACAGAGCACCCTAAAATTGTAATTGTTACATCTTAGTAAATCTTAGTAAAATTTGTTGCTGATGTTCGTTTATGTACAATCATTTACTCCCAAAAAATGATTCAGTCTATGTTAAAGCTTAAATCCTAACAATATTTATATACACAGACCCATTACAGTCTGTTTGGCTCTTATAGCAAACACTTAGTTAAAAAAAGTAACACAGCACCACTTGCAAAAAAAAGAAGCTGTATACTCACCTGTCCTGCTATCTGTTCCTTCAGTCTTTATGGCTGTGCCAGATGCTTTGCTTCCGTTGCTGCATGACATGGTTCCTCCTGGCAGTTACTACACGACACAATAGTGTCATGGGGTCATCAAACGGAACCACAGCACGCAACAGGGAATGTAGGTATCTGACACTCCTGGAAGTGTCAAATATGAAGATTTTTTTAGGTTGCTGTAGCTGTTAAACATAGTGCAGCTTGGAGAAACAAGCGTCAAAAACTTCAGCATAAAGCCTCTGTTTTGGCGGGAGGTGGCGAGTTAATTTTTTTACTTTTACAAACTCGCACAGTTGTTATAATATATGAAATAGTTTATTTATATCTGTTAATATAAAGAGAGGCCAGAACTGTGGTTGTGCAGCTATATTTCACCTGCAGATTTTGGATCCTCCAGACGCTGTTGGATTTCAGAAGTAAGACTTTCAATGAGGGAAAAGACTTGGTCGCAGATTTTCACTGGGTTCTTTATTGCTTCAATGGAGTTAAGCAAAGATGTGCTGCTAGTTGGGGCCAGCTTAAAAAGGTAAGAAAAGAGAAAAAGGCAGCACATACATATTACATTTCATGCTGACATGGTTGAATCAGAAAATACACAAAATAATATTACATCACGATAAGGGCGGCAGGGGGATAAGATTTGAGGGATTAAGGTAAACAAAAAGCTTGGGGTGCACCCTTTAACAGTACTGAGTGGCTCGGCTTGAACTATGAGGATGAGTGATTTTCACTCACCCTCATAGTTCTCCTTTAACCCCTTCGTGACTGACGACGTTCGGTGTACGTCGCCAGCATCGGGGCTGTTTAAACAGACTCCCGGCGACTTTTGCCGCCGGGACTCTGTTTAAACTTGTAGAGCCGACTGTCGGCTTTACAACAGAAGCGATCCTGGCGACTTAACTGTCGCCAGATCGCTTCTGCGTCCCGAAGAAGGGGCCGCC